TCATTCTTTTTATTTACTGTTAACACTATCTGTTTTTAATAAATGCATTTTAATAAATTCATGTTCTCAGAAGACTTGCATTGAGTGCATAAAATATTTGAAAGGAAAAAAATGAAACAAGTCAAATTGCTAATATTGTAATTGTTTAACAGTTTTCCATATTTCATGTTGTAAATAAGAAATGTTACTTTTGTGTTTAAAAAAAAAAAAAAAAAAAGGTGTAAAAAACTTCAGATTTTTTCTGAATAGCAGCAGATTGAAAGTCGCATATTGTGTTTATTTTGTTTTCCTCTAGTTATACTATAAAGGCTCGTGTTAACAACTCTTCATTCATACTGTAATTACTACACTTGCTTTGTTGTGTCTTGTATTCTAAACTATGCTGTATTAGAAAAACAAACTGCTGCTGTATGATAGAAACGCATTCGTTTTCAAAATCCTTAAATTGTCTCTGTTAGCTGGTTTTTCTTTTCACTGAGTATTTTCAGAAATGTTGTTTTATGCTTAGTAAAGCTTGATAAATTAGAAACATTGTGTTTCAACATTTTTGTAATTCGAAGTATATATATGTGTGTGTGTGTGATGAAAAAGAGGGGGAAATGTAGCAGTATTGATGGCGTAGCATAAGATAGCTTAGAACATAGATCCATATTGAAGAAGATGAATTCTGATTGAGTAGGATGCGAAAATGTAGAATCCATAATTACTAGGAAACTTAGCAGTCGAGTTGAATTAAATATATTTTTTTTTTGTTTCAGCTGACATTTTTTACTATAATTTACTAAAAATTTTATTTCAGCTGACATTTTTGGCTATAATTTACTAATAATTTTATTTCAGCGGGCATTATTAGCTAATCATGCCTATTCCAGAACATTTAATTTTTGATACTGTTGTGATAGGAAAAGAGCACAACAAAAAAAGTGTACAGTTAATCCAATATGGAGGTTCACCAAGAGAGTTCAGGTTAAAAAGGTTTCAGTTCTCAAAAGTTTGAGTTCAAGTTCCGAATTAGCTATGTTATCAGTGTTATGGATGCAAGAAAAGTAAATACACAAATTTAAAAATGAGGAATTAAAGAGGCTGTTACTAGGTTAAATCATAAAGCTGATTTACTTTTTTTCTAATCTTGCTTATTCTCCCCCCTTCAAAAAGAAAAATGCTTGGCAATAGCAAAGCCTTTTTAGAAGAAAGCATTAGTGAAGCAAAGGAAATGCAATTTGGGGGGGGGGGGTTCATAAAATTTTAATTTAAATAATTTGTTTTAAAATAACAAGATACAACTGTAGGTGTCATTTTTAACAATAAATGCAAATTGAAAATTCTGTTGAAATTTTGAGAGACTGCAAGTTCTTTTTTCTATCGAAAATGCTGTAAAGAGTGTCCCAATTTTTTTCAAGAAATAACTGGAAATTTTCTGTAAAATCTTTGCTTGAATATGATAATTATAATATTTTGCAATCCTTAGCTTGAAAGTCTTTTGTAAAAATTGTTGCTCTCAATATAATACAAAAATTTTCTTTTGCATACATATTCATGAAATTTGCATTAAAATTAATTATTAAACACTTTTAAAATAATCCACATTTTCTTAATTGTAAAGCAACGTAAAATGGAATTTTGAGCTTAATAAACATAGAAAAGTAACAAAATTCAATACAATAACAAAATAAATTTTGATAAAAATAGGCAGAGCCTCTACATTACAAGTTAGTGTAACAAAGTGCAGATTGCTGTCAGATTCTAAAAACCTCCCTTCCTTATTAAAGGTAACTGGCATCTAGTATTGTATAATTATCCAATTTTGAATTTGTAACTTAAAGCCATAAAAATTTTCAAATTAGTTCATTGAAATTCAAAAATTAAAACCAGTTAAGTCAAAGTAAAAGGTCTTAAATTTTGTAAATAAGTTTCTACACTGCCTTACAATAATAATAAGGACCATATAATTTTGTGAATATAAAATAAGGAAATAAATAAACTTCATAATTATATCTGTGAAGGGCAGGCTTTTAGAACTTTTCAAATGTAAAATTTTAAATATATCTATTTAATTATATTACAAAATCGCAAAATGTTTCAAACTATGTGAACATAATTAATTTTTCATTCAAAACATCATTTGAAATTATATTACTAAAATTATGCTTTCATCTCTTGAACAGTAATTTCATATTTTTGCAAAATGACACATTTAAAAAGCTGAAACTTTGCACGAAATTTAGATGCAAAATGTATGAGTCCACGGCATAGTTAATAATTTTGTTTCATATAAAAATAACCTTGATTTAAGTTTACATGATAACAATTTTGAGTTTTCAAATGACAAAATGCTAAGTGGAAGTGCAAAAAATAATTTCCTGCCACATATACCTGAAGGACATTAAACACTCGATGACCTTGAACCAACTGTAATGCTGAATCCCCTTAATGAAATCACTTTGTTGATTTAAAGCACAACTCCCTCTATTTTTTTTTTTTTTTTTTCGAATGGCAGGCACTATTTGCCTTTTTTCGACATTGGCCACTCCTGAGGCTAGAACGTTGAACTTTTTGGACGCTTACCATAAGGATGGTGACTCTTTACTCGATCGCATCGTTACTGGTGACGAAACATGGGTGAAACATGTTGAACTGTGAAACGAAATTGAACAAATTGCAAATCAATGCAGTGGGGGGCACACAAGTTCTCCCCAAAAACCCCAAGAAATGTATGCAATGTCGGCAAGGAAGATGATGGCGACTGTTTTTTGGGACACAGAAAAGGTGTAATTTTTGGTGGACTTCCTGGAAAGAGGCACTACAATAAACTCTCAAAGGTAGTGCCAAACTCTCCAAAAAACTCAGAAGAGCAATTCAAAACAAGCGCAGAGGAACAGAGGAATGTTGAGCTCTAAGATCTTGTTGATTCACGACAAACGCCCGGCCCCACACGGCAAATGTCACTCGTAAAGTTCTTGAATCTTTTAAGTGGGAGTTGTTTTCCTCATCCGCCGTACAGTCCCGACCTGGCACCGAGCGACTTCCACCTATTCCCAGCAATGAAGAAGTGGCTGGCTATGCAGCGTTTTGATGACGACGCACAGCTGCAAGAAGAGGGTAACGAAAGTGGTTGAAGGCGCAGGCGGCCGAATTTTTTTTTCGACGAAGGAATTTCCAAGCTCGTACATCGCTACGATAAATGCCTTAATTTGTATGGTGACTATGTAGAAAAGTAGTATTTGAGTGTGGCTTTCATCTGTATATAATAAAATTTGTTTCCTATACTTTGTTTATTTTTTTATTCCAAAACGTAATCTACTTTCTGGATAGCCCTCGTATATGAACTCAACACTGTATAGAAAACCACCAGTTGGCAAAAGACAGTCCAGACATGTATGGTAACCTTGCAGGCTGATGGAGAGGAACAAGTTTTTCTCCAGCAGTCTGTGCTTCACCTGGATATGTGAACCTCAGTGTCTGCATTGGGCCCGTTCTCTGTCTTTCTTTAAGCCGTTATAATATAATATACCCAACTCTGGCAACTATGTTGAACTCATACTTAACTACCCACTTCTTAAAACGGTAAAAGGTTTGCAGAGATTTTTAGGATTTTAAAATTTTTACTGTCAATTTTTACCCACTGTAGCCCAGAATCAGATACATTTAACTTCCTATTTAAAAGGGGCTAAGAAAAATGCTAAGACAACGCTGAATTTGTCTAAGGAAGTGTGAAATGAATTTCAAGATTGCAAGCAGTTAATCACAAATGTGATTATTTTAGCACACCTGAAGAAAGATGCGAAGTTGGTTTTACAGGTCGATGGGTCAGACTTTGAGATCGGCGGAACGATATCACAATTAGTTGATGGAAATTACATCCTCTTGCATTTTTCTCATGAAAGCTTTCATGAGCAGAAAGGAACTACAGTGCTTATGATTGCTATTAGGCATTTTAAATATATGTTGGAAGCATGAAATTTTTCTTTAATCACCGATCACAAGCTGCTTACATATGCATTTCAACAGCATTTGAATAAGTGTTCACCTCGTCAGGCTAGGCAGTTAGACTTCATCTCCCATTTCATCACCGAAATTCACCATATACAGAATTGGAGAATATCACTGCCAATGCAATTTCGCGCATAGAAGCGATAAGCATGCCTAAGCCTATCAACTATGAAGAAATTGCTAAAATGCAACAAATCAATCCAGAATTACAACTTTACTTCAAAAGATTCAAAAGTTATACAACCCCAAAAAGTTAGCTTAGCTAATTGTAGGATATATTGCGATTTGTCAACAGGTGCCGCCCGCCTTTATGTCCCCCAGCATTCCATGAGAAAGTTTTTGCAATATTGCACAATTTGTCTCACCCTGGCATTTGTGCATCAACAAAGTTAATATGTTCCTGTTTGTTTGGTCTTTCATCCGTAAAGATTGCACAAAATGGGCACAACAGTGCATTCTGTTCCAGAAAGCAAAAGTAAGCAGACCATTCTCTTCCTTAAGCTGTTATAATGTCAACTCTGGCAATTATGTTATTTTTCTTCATTAAATTTCATTAATTGCTGTATATCTATCTTAATTAAGATTGATATTTTTCTATTTAATGTTGTCAATGCTTTCTTAGGCACATGTTGCCCACGTGTTCCTCAGGTTGCTCTCTTCTTAGGGAAAGGATAGATTGCTCTGTTTATCAGGCCATTGTTTCCAGTAAAAGTAATATTGGCATTTCAGAGGTTGCCCATCTCTTTAAATTGATTTCCTTTTACTGAAATTAATGCTAAAATAAAGTTGAAATTTGCCATTTATAATGTTTTATGTTGATTTTGTTTATAATTGAGTATTTTGAATGTGATAAATGTTATGCTAATCTTTTGCTTTATGATGCATAGAAGAATTATTGAATGAGAAGACTATTAACTATTTGTGAAGGGCTGTTCATATAGGTAGCATGGTGTCTATGCAGTTACATTAAAAGTGCATCTGCAAAAAATTCATTTTTAAAATTTTTCTAGGCACAGATCAAGGTCTCCTCAAGAATCTGATTCTGGAAGTGAGAGTGATGTTGATACAGATACTAGTTCAAGTACACACAAACACAAAAAAAAGAAACATAAAAGCCATAAGAAGACTCACAAAAAAAAGAAATCGAAGAAAAGGGAATGAAATTTCAAAACAAAAGTACCCGTAATAATTCTATGTAATGTTTTTATATTATTTTAGCATAATTGAATAAGAATATTTTTAATTTCTTACTATTGTATACCAAATTTTTTCGCATATTTCTCACCCTTATGATTTCCGTCTTAGCTTTTTTGGCATATAATTTAAAAGTTTCTAATTTATGGCAGCAGTTTATAAGATATGAAATATATAGTTATAAATAAATAGTTTTGATAAAAAGAATAATACTGTTGAAAGTATTAACTGCAGCTAATCTCTTTGAAAATTTAGCATACAGTAATATTAGCATATGTGTTCTTTTATGCGTTTTTCTCTCTTAAGATCTCCCTTTAAATCTTTCTCTCAGAATTTGCATACGTATCATAATTTTTCCCTTTTGATTGTCAAAACATAAAATTAGTGAAAAAAGAGGGATAATATGTAAGTAAATACTGCATTTATGTGTTTGAAATTAAAATTATTGTGAAGCATTTTAAAACATTTCTATATTTACAAAATATTTTAACGTATATATTACTGAACATGTGATGTAAATAATTTGTATTTATATGTTTTCTGTTTTTTTCTTCAGGAGGGGGAGGACTGATATGAATTATTTTCATTTTTCATCTTCCTCTATTTTTACTGTTGCCTATGTAAGGAAATATAGTAAGAAGCATGTGTTAGAACCATTTTTATATGAAATTATCTGTTTGCAGCTTAGGTTCTTGCTGGAAACTCATACCAAAGATCTTAATGTGTCATCATACTAAAGTCATGTATTGTGCAGATAGGTACAGTAATCACCATATCTGTTATTGAATTGAAATACGCATTTGCAGTGAATCAAACAAAACCTTCAAACCTTAAAATATCTTAAGAATTGCTAATAATTTGCTAATTCAAACTGTTTTCCAACTTTAGCCTTTAACTTTTAGTAGTTATTATGTTTTTCTGTTTATAAAGTAAGCCTGATTTTCTGAGTTCTGTGGGAAATTATATTATCCAGAAGAATTGTTTCATTATATATATATATATCCTCGAAATATGTTATGAGTCTACCTCTTCGTTTTCCACATGTTCTTTTTGTGTGTATATTTTTAAATATAATAAGGTTAGAATTATGTGATTAATCTTCTGTTTAGTCTCTTCCTTATTTATCATCTGAATTATATTTTGAGATTATTATATTTACATTCTTTTTAAATACAATTCTTAAGAGTAAGTTATTTTATGCATATGTAGTTATTCTGTATTAAGAATTATTATCTTTTGTATGTCTCATTGTGTAATAGTATGTTCATTCAGATTGTAGATATTAGTAATAAAATTTTGATTTATAAATTACTTTTTAGCTGCTTATTATTAAAATGAGAACTTTAAAAGTGGGCTGTAATGTAGAAGTAGCTATAATCATCCAACACACGTCATTTTTCTAGCAGAGTCTACAGAGTGCTTTCATAATAATGCTCAGTACTCGTAATTTTCTCTGCCATTTGCTTTTCTTATGGAAATTCTCCTAGGAAATGAGGCATGTGAGCAGATTTAACTACTTGTGAGGTCATGACGATGTGTTGTAATGCTAATGTATATTATTTTGTGTTTTAAAAAAATTATGCTTTATATGGTAGAACAACAGTGTTCTACCATATAAAACAATATGCGAAATTTAAAATAAAAAATCAACTTTTTTCTGGTTTATTGAACTGTCAAGTCATATTGAATTTGATTTCAAACTGACAATTTTACTAGAATGATGCAAGAAAACATCAAATATCCAAGTAAATGTAAACATATAGTCATGCCATAAAATTAAAAACCCGAAAATGGTTTTATTCAATTATTTGTTTACAAAGTATATCACAAAACTTGTTGATTGATTATTAAACAGTTGCATTAATTTGCTCATCATATTAAGTATCCTAAATGAAAATATTTCAACACATAATCTCTGTTTTGAATAAGACACTAGTTTTCCTCTTTAATGATGTGATATAGAAGTTAGATTGAATGTAGAAGCGAACCCTGTTGCCCAAAACATTTCACCAAGGTTTTGTAAATTGTTTTCTAAATGAATGAACTCTGTAAACTTATCCACTTGACCACTGGTGTTAAATGATTTAAGAATATATTACTTCACATTTAACCTTCTAGCTCAAATGTTTCGGGCTTTCCTACTCTCTCTGTCCCATAATAATATTATCAGTTAAATTTGTCCCATAATAATAGTAACAAAAAAAAAGAGATGCAAAATGCAGAATTTATGATAAAACAAATAGATTGAAATAAGCAATAAATATTACTCTTGATTTTTTATTTTGAATTTTCATATAGTTTCTGAATTTTTCCATAATTTCGGTACTGCATTTTGAACTTTTAGGTAGGATCTCTCATCTGTGAAACTTTGCTTTCCCTGTATGTGTGAGTTTAAAACTATTGGAGCAATCTTTCTTCATTGCTTCCAGCATAACTTGTCAAAGTGTCAGAAACTTGTTATCCAGTATTTCAGGAGAATTATTATCAAAGAATATGCTTACTGCTTCTATCAATTAATCAGTATTTTTGAAGAAGCTTGATACTCTAGTTACTGCATTGGGTTAAAAAGAACCCAAGTCGAACACATTAAAGTCTGGACTATGTAGTGTCTGGGATTTCCTTTGTATTTTCCAGCCATCATGAAATCCCTCCCCTCATTGTAATGGAACATCATCTTTAAGACTCTCCTACTTATTTTTGACTGAGTGTACATCCTTTGACTATCTGCTGCATTTCCAGATGCAGGACAAAAGATAAAATGCATGTCAGCGAGGTACGCTTTTGGATAATAATAAGCCACTCGAAATTTTCCTAGAGAATGACAGTTCATGCCAGGTGAGAGCTTTTATCTACCACTCAAATGCATCCACAATCTAGCAAATCACTTTGCCGCACACATTCCATTACATAATCTCATATTTTCAGTGCATCATCTGCATTTTCTGTGGATATTGTCCGAACACCCTATATATATATATATACATACAAAGTCCGAGAACCGGACATCCAATATCCGGAATGATCTAAAATCTGGACCTCAAAGCCACAAAGTTTTTTTTTTTTTTTTTGTATGCTTTGTATTTTTTTTGTATGCACATTTGATTGTTCCCCCTATAATAAAACATGTGGAGAGTCCTGATTCTTAATTTCACTTATTTACTAAATAAAATACCTTGTTATTGAATATGAAATAATTTAAGTATAACTTTCAGAGAACAATAACTTGGTTTTGTAGCTGTATATCTGCTTGGCATACATCTCAAACCGAAACATTCTACATAGGAACATCATTGATTTTACACCTGCTAGTATTTTATATCCCTGAAGCCGACCTGGCGGATCATTATTTATTATATTTTACTTTCATCAAGAGTATGGCAACCTTTTATGCTTGCATTACGTTCGACGATGACTATAGACTATTTAATTAATTGCACTAAGAAATGTTAACGAGGAAAAATTCAACAAAAATTTCTTTTCATATGCTAAAAATAGATTTTGTTAATGAAACTCATACGCCAAAAGATTACATTTAGTGCTATTTGAATTAAGAATAACTGATATGTTATTCGCATAAACCCAGAACAGGCTTCAGAGCTCGTATGACCGCACCTGGCAGCAGAATTTAAAGAAGAAAAAATTTTTGGAATTTGGAGAAGCATCGAGCAGCAAAATTAAAGGATGAAAATTTTTTTACAATTTAGGGAAAGCACTGGGATGCAAAGTTTAGGGGTGGCAAAAATTTAGAATTTAGGGAGGCACTTTGTAGCAGAATTTAGGACCTGCAGAGACTGACTGCATCATGTGATATCTAGTGCCAGCCCTACTTAAGCCTTAAGTATATGTGGGAATTTATTTATTCAGGACTCAGATGAACCTTAAGCATGTACAAGAAATAGATGTGGGTGTAATAAATAACTAAACTTTATACAGTTCAGGATTAATTCAGTACGCTATAGAAGCAAGATAAAATTTTGCGGAGAAACATGTCTTTCGTCGCCAGTCATATGATACATAGCCAATTGATGTATAGCGGACGCTATTAAGCTAGGCTAAAATTATCTTTACTGATTTCTAAAGAATTTCAGTTAACATATCAGACTGCCTCCTTAATCTTGTAATTTGATCCAGCTTGTTATTTTTTGCAGACATATTATTACAGCAATTTTATGAAAATCAAAGCCTGAATTTTTGATTAAATTGAAAAGGGTTTCTAATTTCGGAGCTGCAAAAGGATCTACAAAGAGAAAGCATGTTTTGATGCCCATTAAGCAAAAAGTGGAATTAACTAAATTTAAAATTCACAATGGTATAAGGCAATTAAAAATTTCAGGTGGAAAAGCTTCAGCTGATACTGAAGCTGCTGAACTATTTGCAGATGAATTAATTGAACTCCTTACGTGTGAAAAATTATCTGCAGGATGGATGACACAAACAAAGAGCATGGATGACACAAACGTTAATGAATGATTAGTTTGAAAATCATTTTATACCCGAGGCTCTGCAACATTTGAATTCGGTTGGTCTACCTGATGACGCAAACGTGACCTGATTCTAGACAACTTTTCGGCTCATTCTTCACTTAAAGTTTTAGTGAAAGATAAGGAATCTGTGTTATTCTTTCCTCCAGATTGTACGCCCGTCATTCAGCCTATGGATATCCAAACAGTGCTCATGCTAAACTGCAAATATAATGTAGCATTTTTTAAATTGATGTTAAATTTTTTGAACAGTGACAAGAACTATTCAAGAATTTTTGAAATATTTTAGCATAAAATCTGCATTGCAAGATCATGGGAGGATGTGTCTCCAGATACTTAAAAAAAAAACTTGGCATAATTTATGACCAACTACCATATTTCATAGTGAGGATGATGAAGATGATAGTCATGAATTTGAAGGTTTTTGGATATCGCAAACCAAAGGCGAAATTTTCAAATTAATGGATTTTGTAAGGAAATTTGGAGAAGCGGTAATAGATGAAGATCATATAACAAGATTTTCTTTGTGATGACAATGCCCCAATCATTGATCAATTAACAGATCGCAAAATCTGTAGTATGGTTCTAGATCAAGAAAATAACAGATAGGTTATTGGAAACGAAAAAATTTCGATTGACATGTTAGTCGGAATTCTGGGCACAGCAATTACAGGACTTGCACAGTGCAACTTTGTAACTGAACAAGAAATTATGTCTGTTTATAGAATTAAAGAGGAAGTATTAGCACTAAAACAACTTACATTGAAAGACATGTTTAATAAAATAAACAAATAAATATTAAGCTCTTTTTTTGTGTGTGTGTGTGAATTTTGATACCCTTTAGATCATAGATGCTGTTTAATTCATAAAATCATGATTTCATGTTTTTAATTGTGTAATTTTTATGTGCCATCTTAATAGATTTTAACTGATTGTCTAATACCCGGAATCACCAAAGTCCCGTCGAGTCCGGATCTCGGTCTTTGTGCCATATATATGTATAATTTATTTTCTAAAGTAAGATTGATTATATTATTATCTCCTAAAATACATTCTACTAAATTATTATTATCTTATTTTTAATCTGTTGTGCAAGTATTAGGAAATTTGTTTTGATTTCAATGAATTTCAGTTCATTAATTTAATTATATATATATATATACATACACACACCGTATCTGCTGCTTGTTACAGTTCCAAACATATTTGCATTTATTAAAGGGCTAAATTTCATAAACGGTGATTTCGTTAGTGCAAATTATAGTATCAGCTTTGATCTTGTTTAGTAAGATATTAACTAAGAATTAAAACCTAAATTATAAATAGCCATTAGTGTTTAAACTATTTGGGAATTTAAATTTTATAATTACACACTTGCTGCTCAGACGGAAAATTGGTTACTGACTGACTGCCGTACCGAAGGGCCCAGTTTCAAAACCCGGAGAAGACATGGATGTAAATTGTGTACCCCTTCATAAGAAGCAACGTTTTCCCTCCTATTAGGTTCCTTTGTAATAAAGAGACCTCTGCTTCCAGCGTTAGTAGTGGCCATCTTTTATAATGGTAAGTGCCTGCCATTAGAAATAAAAAATATATATAATTACATACAAAATAAAATTTTAAACCTTTACCATGAACCACTTTATTGGTATTTGTTTTGTATTATTTATCAATAGTCTTTCAGTTATATTTTCAAGTTCGTAAAACTCTTGGTAGCTTTTCCGATGTCCTGATTCAGCTTAGGTTGGCATGCAGTCTCTTTTTTTCCGTATCACTTTCAGTTTCTCCAGCAATTTTAACACTTTCTATAATATTGTAATTAGGGCTTTGACATGCTATCTCAACATTATCATCAGTTGCAATGTATTCTAAAAACGAGTCTTCGTAATTTCTCTCACTGATATCCAAATTGCTAAAAATAGCTTGTGATTCCTCTGCGGCTTCTTCTAATAAAAGCTGCATTTTCTAAAATAGTTTCTGTGTTTGGAGAGACTACATCTCATGCCTTGACTATTATACGCATTTACTCTAGCAAAGATACCGATTTATAAAGTTTTAATGGAAAGTTCCTGCCACCACAAATATCGTCTGCGCAAACAGTTCATGTCAGTGTGTTTAGTCTTATTTTGTCAAATGATTTTTGGCATTTGAAAGAAAGAGACTTGCTTTAGAACACTTGTTGTGAAATTTCTGAAAAAATATCGTTAAGAACAAGGTGTCTGAAACGGAACTATCACGCTAACAGATCATCATTTGCTTCATGTTCTTTTTTTAAAAAGTCAGTGACAGAATGTTGACAAATTATGTGTATAGCTTTAGGTACTAATGTAGTATCGTACGACACTGTGAAGGTTTGGTACCTAAAGTTCAAAAACATAGACTATGATTTTCAAGAAGGAGACCTCTGTGCCTGGCTTACTGATGTTGATGAGGCCAGCCTGTGAGATGTGTGAAGAAGATCAGTGTCCAACCACATGAGAGCTTGCTATGGAGCTAGACGTTAGTGCCATGTCCGTTAGTCATGCTGTGCGTTGCATAAACTTGACGGACAAGTTCAATCGCTGGGTGCCATATGAGCTGGCTCAAGCAGATTAGGACAGACGTGTTTGGGCCTTCGCTAATCTGCTCGAATATCAACGCAAGGACAAAATTCTGGCCCTCATCATCACTTGTGATGAAAAGTGGACTTATTTCAACAACACAGGCCTAAAAGGGGGTTGGTCTGCACTTGTTGGCAGTGTCGCAGAGTGCAATTTGACTAACGAAAACATCATGCTTTGTATCAGAGGGATTGCTGTGATAATAATCCACAAAGAGTATCTCGGAAAAAAATAAAAATCTCGACAGTAAGGTGTACGATGAAATGCTAGTCCGTGTTGACGCTACTATCAAGGAAAATGGTGGAACTGAGTTCCGGTGCAAAGAGGTAATGTTCCATCAGGATAATGCAAGGCCACATGTGTCTGCAGTAGAGATGAGTAAAACCATTTCTTTAAGGGATCAGATTTGAACCATTTGCTCACTGAAGTGAATTAGTTCTTTTTAACGGTTCCCTGCTCACTAACAACAACCTTGATGAATTAGTTTGAAACAGTCATGGATCAAGAGCAATGTGCAAAAGAAAGGGGGAAAGAAGAAAGAATTGAACAAGGAATGGGATTGCTGGAATTGACTCGACCAAATCACTCACTCCCTGGACTGAGTTCTTTCAACTGTACTTTTGAGATTTCCTGAAAAAAAAACCTTTGTACATAGAACAACAGTAAAATTCTGAAACAAAAAATGCTTAAAGTTAAAAAATAATGAAAACTAAACTCACTTTTGTTAAACATTACATTACTGTGTTATTGTAATTGATATTTTGTTGTTGTTTGCAAAACACGGTGTAAAAATTAATTTTTAGATAGGAGGCAGATCCCCAAAAACATGAAATTGTCTGGTGATAACATCTACATTTTCCTGTTTTTAACTAATTTGATAAAATGACACCAAATCTGTCGATGTTCTTTTATTCATTAGAATCCGCAATTTGTTCTGCGACCTTGAAACAACACATTAGATGGAAAAATTAATGTTTATAAATATCTATTAATTCTAAAGAAGATGGAAGAGAAATTCAAAGTTCTTGATTGCAAGACGCTAGTAAAATAGGTCAATAAATAAAAAATAATTTTTTGCATAAATATTACAGTAATATTGTATAAAAAAAGGTAATACTAAATATACATAGCTATACTAAAACTCAAAGGAACAGCCCTGAGGAAGTGAAAAGAGCGATCAGAATCGGATCTGCAGCTAGAACAGAAGCGATGAGAAGTGCGAAAAATCACGACTACGAAGACCCAGATCTGCCACCAGTGCTGGAGCACGAGACAGCTGGGAATCCAAATAGCTAGTTCCTATAATCTACGTACTTTAAACAGATCCTCACACTGCCAGATGGGAAAAAATGTCATCCATTTCAAATGTTGACGGTCAGTTTTTAATGTTTTGTATTCCGTATTAGATTAAACACAAGCATACCAAAAGCGCACATATAGACCTACATAACACACATAAAAAATATGTCAGAGACGTTTCCGGTAAATAATAAAGGAAAGACTGCTAGTGTTTACACAAAAAGGAATCAAATTTTTGGCACACTTCCCAACAGCTCTCAGTGAATTATTAATGTACTGCCATTCCGTTTTTGCCGGAGTGGTGATTATTCATTCAGTAAAGTGAATCGATTCCAAAACTGATTGTACATCTCTGCATTCACCAGCTGGACTCTGTGCAGACTCGAATAGAATGTTTTGCCATACCCACCCTACAGTCCTGACATTGCTCCTTGGGGCTACATCTTGGTTGTGCTGTGTGCCATTCTGTGCAGGATGTCGAAATGAGGTTCATCTGTTTTTGGACTCGCGGCTACTATGTTTCTGTGCCGAAGGCTTTGAAAAACTACCAAAGCGTTGGCAGAAGGTCATAGATTTGGGTAGTGATTATTACCCGCACTAAAGATGCTGCTTTATTTTTTTATTTTTTCTTCTAACTTTACTGAGAACGTTTTTTGGAGGAAAACTTTCTTTACAACCAGATAGTTGCCTCTTTCAAAGGGTTTACATTTTCATAAAATTTATTTTGATATATCTTTTTCTGAACAAAACCTGTAATGATATTTGAAAGCTTTTATAATGTCTTGGTCTAATGGCTGAATGATAAAAGTCGTATTTGAAGATCATATTTTATTCTCGTGTGTCAAGATGTAGAGACGTCTTTTTACTCCGCTTCTGATGAGAAATCAGATTAAAAAGAAAGCGAAAAGAAACTAATTTAATATTCTTCACAGCGATATCAGAGGGCTGGGCAGCATAGTTGTATAAGAATAAAGCTATTTTATCGTTTCTCAGCTCATCTCCCATTTCAAGAGGAAATTGGTAAAAATACTACTTTTCATTCTCGAGTTCTTGTTACAGTAAAATAAAGTTCTTGTCAAGTACTTTTTCCAATATCCAATGATATCTCTTTAATTGTTGGATTCATACTGCACTGTAAATTATTCTTTTAATTTCTTAAAACCACCTGCTGTTTCACATCGAAACAGTGTGTGGTCACTGTATAAAACAATTTCATCTATGTTACAAATTTTATGTGGATCGTATTCTTTTAAAAGCCCTCGTAAAATGTCTTTTAACCACTTTTCAATCAAATTATGGTCTGCCGCTTGCTTCTCATCATGTAGTTTCCGATAAATAATGTTATTTCTTGTGAGCCATCCATCAGTTGGCACAAAGTTTTCTCTTGGTATTTTAGTAAATTCAACAGCTTTTGTGATCAAAAGAGCTCTAGAAATTGGAACTTTTCTTAGTCTCAATAGTTTGAAACCATTCTAGAAGAGCTGTTTAAATGTCTCTCGATTTTCCCATTCCTTTTGCGCTTGCTGGAGAAATTTCCATTTTTTACTCTGTATCAGCTGTATATATTAGTTTATGTAAGTTCCACAATACTGTTCGGGAAATTCTTGTTTTATATGCTGCTTCTCTCTGGCTGGATTTTACAAACATAAATTCTTTTAGCTATTTTTGTTTTTCTTTCAGGCTGAAATCATTTCGTTTAGACATTTTCGCCATTTTACAAGTCACACACATGGCAAATAAAAATAGTTTTCTTCCAGTAATTTATTCAAATCCACAATTCCTGTTTCTAGCCAGCAGGAAGATTGCACTTTGGCTGTCAAATCAACCTATCACTTCATGGTTATTATAGGCATAATCAATGCCTTCATTTCTTTTTTCATCATCCTATAACAACCTCTCGCCTTTATCAATCAAACATTAATAATGTACGGTTATGCAAGGAAGCATTTTATGATGTTTTCTGAGAACAGCCTACAAACTTAATTGTATGTATGCATTTCTATGCGCTGTTGTCTGGTGTTCGAGAAAAGGAACCAGTACTCACTTAAGCACCACCTTTTCTTTAATCATCGAAACACTTACTCATTTATAATCAAAGAACTTGGTTCCAGTGTTCCTAAAGGATTTCTTTGTTAATCATATGATAAAGATATGTCGCTCTAGTCTGGACAAAGAGCTTTACGAGCTATGTCCGAGAGGGACTAAAGAAAGGGTGCTCAACATTCCCCCCCCCCCAGGGATTCTTGTTTATACCTACACTTGCCGAAATTTCTGCTAAAACCGTTTTATTGAAACACTACAAAACAGAATGATGAATGAATGATTCACAAACAGCTTTTATAAGCCACAAACAATGTATTCTGGAACTGAAGAATCAGTCTTTTGGCAGTTTGAGATACACAAACGGCAGATTTTCTAGTGATTAGTATGTAATTGTTTTTGTTCCTGGAAAGCTGAACACAGTAAGTGGCTGAGTTTATTAACCAGTGAGTTTAATAAGCGACGGGTACTGTATATATACAATACAAAGTCCGAAATCCGGAATGATCTAAAATCCGGACCTCAAAACCACCACCAACGTTTTTTCTTGTAGGCTATATGCATGCGTATTTGATTCCCCCCCCCCATCTGCTCATAATGAAACATCTGGAGAGTCCTGATTCTTAATTTCACTTCGACACTAAATACTATGTTATTGAAGAAACAGTGATTTTAGCATAAATTTGTACAGTTAGTAATTTGGCTCCGTTGCTGCGTATCTGCTTGGTACACATCTCAAACCGAAACATTCCATATAGATACATCGTTGATATGACGCCAACCTGACGAATCATTATTTATTACCCTTTCCTTTCATCACCGCATGTTTATCAAAACATGACAACTTAAGTAATGACTCATGTAGCGATGCCTAAACAGTTTTTTATGTTAGTAATTGAATAATAAAGGTTGTATGATAACTTTTTTATGTTGATATTACGCTTGGCGATGATTACAGATTTAAGTTAAATGCGCTAAAAATATTGACGAGGAAAAATTTACCAAAAATTTCTTTCCATACGCTAAAAATGGATTTTGCTGATGATACTCATAGACCCAAAGATTACATTTAGGGCTATTTGAAATAAGAATAACTGATTTGTTATTCACATAAACCCAGAACCAGCGCCATGTCTTGTATGGCCGCACCGAGTCACAGAATTTAGGATCCACATGTACTGCATCAGGTGGTAAGATATCTAGCGCCGGCCCTCAATAAGGCTTAAGTATATGTAGGAATTTATTTATTCAGAACTCTAATAAGCCTTAAGCATGTGCAAGAAATAAGTATAATAAATAACTAAACTAATACAACTCAGGCTTAGTTGTCTTAGTGTGCAATAGAAGCAAGATAAAATTTAACGGGACAACTTGTCGCCAAGCTCATGATGCATAGCCAAGTACGTATAGTGAAGGGTAGCTATATTTGATGATGATAGCCGCTAATTTTAAAGGTTTTTCGGATATCGCAAAACATAGTTGAAATTTTCCTATTAACGGTTTTCGTAAAGAAATGTGGAGAAGTAGTAATAAATGAAGATGATGTAAAAGAAGTTTTTCATTGTGATGATAATGCTTCTCAATCATTAATCCAATTAATGAATGGTGAAATCTGCCGTATGGTTCTAGATCCAGAAAATACTTCTACCGATAGTGATGAAAGTTACAAAATATGAGAAAATTTCGATTGACAAGTTAATCAGAATTCTCGAAACAGCAGTTACAGGACCTTCAACAATGTAACTAAACAAGAGATTATGTCTGTCTACAGAATTAAAGAGAAAGTATTAGCACAAAAAACGAAGCAACTTAAACAACTTACATTGAAAGAAATGTTTGATAAGGTAAACAAATAAATACAGTCAAATACCGAAACTCCTGAAATCCGCGTTGCCTCTCAAAATATAAACATTCAGTTTATAGGTACTGGAAACCGCAACAGTGAGTACGAAATATCGAAGGAAAAATACTTACTGAATAATGACATCATAATGACCAAATATTAATAAGTCATAACAGAAATACCAAATTATTGACATCATGATAAAAGTTTTCCCCGCTCTAATGTGCATCGAAATAAGAAAGCAGACGGTTCATTTAACTCTTCTTTCAAGTTCACGATTCACGTTGTTGTATTTTCTGAGTTTTGTTATTTCACGAGATTATTTAGTGCTGCCTTTTTTTTATTCGGATATTTTGTGGATAAATTAAGAATATTTTTAATTTCTGCCCTTTTTAATACAATTACAGATAAGAAACACACTCATGATTTTACAGCTTGCAACGTTGAAAAACGTAAACACGTTGCATTCACGGTAATACAAAAAGTGTAAATTCTGCAAAAGAGGGAGACAGGTGCTACTCCTCGGTTTATAGCATAATCGTATGGAATTGCGATACGATTGTGTATGATATACAGAAAAATAAAGAAAAGCTGTTGAAATTTTACAGCAACAGTGATTCGAACACCGGAATCCGAAACCAGAAATCTGCATGAGGCGAAATCGGCATACCTCAATGCTGTGTATATGTAATACAATGAATAATATAATCATTTTGTATATGTAAATAATAATTTAATGCATATAAGTTATTGCAATAATGTATATAATAATTTAATTAAATGTATCTAATACGCTTTTTTTTTTTTTTTTTTTACTTTTAGTCTGAATATTATGATTTATCTTCTCTGTCTTCAAATCCGCACAACCTCTGGTCCCAAGCTTTGGGGATTTCTGGACTTTTACTGTATTAAGCCCTTTAGATTATAAATACTTCATTATTTCATAAGTCACGATTTCATATTTTTAATTATATAATTTCTACATGCCATCTTACTATATTTTAATTGATTGTCTAATACCCGGAAAAATCCGGAATCGCCGAAGTCCCGATGAGTCCGGATCTCGAACTTTGTGCTGTGTATATATATATATATATATATATATATATATAAAATTTATTTTCTAAAGTAAGATTGATTATATTATTGCTGATTGTGCGCATGCGCGAAACGTAGGTGGTGTGCCGTCGGTGCGATAAGCCACTGCGTATCTGGCCGGGGGGTCCTTGCTTTTGAGTTTTGTAATATAATAATAGTAGCAGTAATACAACGTAAAGTATTACGTTAAACGGAATCGTATTATTGTGTCTATAATTGTACTACATATTATAATGTATACAAGTTATGAACAATAATTGATTGTTACGGACTATTATGAACTAACATGGAATTGTTATTGTTATATTACGTATACATGTCATAATGTCAATATATGATGTGGATTATCTATATTATTATGGACTATTAAGGACTAAAATGTAATTAATATGGGCTGATAATATGCATGAACATTAACTGCACAAGACAAGTACAACTAATAAAAATTTACAATGGACATATTAGAGCTTTGTTAGTCTTGCACAAAATTAACAATTGGACATTGAAAACTAACTACGATTAATAGACACTATCTAGTGCAATACTTATAAAGCAATGAACATTTAATATTGATATGCAAGACTTCATTAATATGTAAAAAATTAAAATATGAATCACGTAGCGCTCTAAGTACAAAGATGTAACACAACTACTAGTGACAATGTAAACACTCTGATTTTGTAAACTTACTGGAATTTATCAATAAATGCACCTATCGGGCATCAGTTCTGTTTGTATACTGCTTAGGTCAGAAGCCTAGTCGGTGGTGTGAAGTGAAATATATAACTGTAATCGCTGGGATCCCTGTGTGCAATTGTAATCATATTTGGCTCTGTGTAACTGTAACTCTGTAACTGTGTATGCCTTCCAGCGATTCTGAAAATTGAAGGTACTGGAAATTTTCTAGTCGGCCAAAGGAAAACTCTGTAAGACCGGAGAGAGCATTAGTTCTCGCTTGTTTAGTTCAGAGTTGAGTTCGGAGTATTGAAAGGTCTCTATGCGAACTTCGCCGATTTAGATGCACTTTGCACTGCCTTGTGCTAAATGTTTTGAATAGTTTGAAGTGTAACTACTGATTATGCTCTTGATACAGAGAAAAGCTGTATAAGTTACTTTTGTGGAAAATTTCAAAATTGTAAAATGTGTCTTTTGTGAAAATAAATTTTATTAAGCTACTATCGGTTCTGTGTGCCTTCAATACGTTACGAACCCCTACGCAAGTAACAATTTCTGTTGTCAGAAAGTAGAGATAGCCGATTCGCTCCGGAACCGACTCAGAAGAACCGATTCACCTTACTGAACTAATGATCAGCACTCCGGCGGTTCACCGAGGGCGTTTGTTGGGAGGCGGGCCAAAAATTTGACTCCTCTTAATGTAAACACCAGCAGTCTTTCCTTTATTATTTACCGGAAACGTCTCTGACCTATTTTTTATGTGTGTACGTGTGTTATGTATGTATACAAGGTGATTCTAAATTGTTTTTACAAATTAAGAGGGATGATAGTACTCATCCAGATGAGCAATAATTACCATAGAACATAGGGTCACATTCCAGTCTGAGAGGCAGAAAAGAGGAATATTAGAATTCCAACCTGAAGTTAAACAATGTTGGGAGAGCGAAAGAACAAGACCAAAAGTTGCACAATCAGTTCAGTGAAAAACTCACAGAGAGTGCACAAAACGGATAAAACCGAAAACTTGGCTTTCGAGTGTTGATTCGAGTTCAGACTGTGATGGCAAACATTCAAATGCACATCTTTGGCACGTAAGTTATATCTTGAAGTATATTCTTCTTGAGATATTTTGGAGTTTGCTGACGTAATGTCGCGAGCCTTCTTAAATTTTCTAAAATATATTTTAGATAATTTTCAATTGAACGGGAAGCTGTGACTGGAATGCTACGTTCACCTGTCAAAATCTCTTTTAGCAAGGATAAAGGTCCGGTTGGTTTTCTTCCATACACCATCTGGAAGGAAGACACCCCAATGGTGCTATGTGGCACTTCTCTGTAGGCAAACATTAGGTAGGGAAGATGTAAATCCCAATTTCTCCCATTTTCTTGGACATTTTTGTTCATCATCTCTTTTAAGGTTCTATTCCAACGGTCGACAGCACCCATACTCTCTGGGTGTCCTGGCGTGAAAAATTGGGGAGATTCACCAAGGAGGTCCTCAAAATCTCGGGTGAGTTTGGCTTTGAAATTAGTTCCCTGGTCTGAACAAATTATCTTTGGAAACTCAGTTTGAGAAAAAATCCTATCAAAATGTTACATGTTGTTTTTGCACATATCCCTTTGACGTGGGGTGGCTTCTGCCCATCTGGTGCATAGGTCGGCTGCGCATATTACACACTGATGACCTCTTCCGGATGGAGGTTCTAATGGTCCGTTACAATCCGCGCTTCATACTTCGAAAGGTGTTTCCGTTCTAACGATAGGTTGAATTGGGATTCTATCTTTATGTGTAATTGCCCTTCTCAACTGGCTTTCTTTACAACTTTTGCAGAAACTTTTAACATCTTGCTTAATAGTAGGGCAAAAGTATGAGTACTTGATTCGTTGAATTGTCTTTTTCTCACCAAGGTACCCAGCAAGAGGAATTTCATATGCTATCCTCAGAAGTTCTTTTTTCTAAAGGCAACACAACTTGCTTTACACTGAAGTGACAAAAGTCATGGGATAGCAGTATGCAAATATACAGATGGCAGTAGTATCGCGTAGAAAATGTATAAATGCGAAGTGCTTTGGCAGGGCTTTCATTTGTGTTCAAGTTATTCATGTGAAGAGGCTTTGACGGGATTATGGCCGCACGGCGAGAATTAACAGACTTTGAACGCAGAATGGTAGTTGGAGTCAGACGCATGGGTCATTACATTTCGGATATCGTTAGGGAATTCAACATTCCGAGATCCACAGTGTCAAGAGTGTGCCGAGAGGATCTAATTTCAGGCATAACATCCCGCCATGGACAGCGCAGTGGCCGACCACCTGCACTTAACGACCGAGACCAGCGACGTCTGCGTAGAGTTGTCAATGTTCACGGACAAGCAACACTGCGTCAAATAACCGCAGAAATCAATGTGGGACATACGAGGGACATGTCCGATAGGACAGTGCGGCGAAATTTGTCTTCCTTGGGCTGTGCCAGCAGAAGACCGACTCGAGTGCCTTTACTTACAGCACGACATCGCCTGCAGCGAGTCTCGTGGGCTCGTGAACATATCGGTTGGTCCCTAAACGAATGGAAAACCGTGGCTTGGTCAGATGAGTCACAATTTCAGTTGGTTAAGAGCTGACGGTAGGGTTTGAGTGTGGCGCAGACCCCACGAAGCCATGGACCCAAGTTGTCAACAAGGTATTGTTCAAGCTGGTGGTGGTTCCATAATGGTCTGGGCTGTTTTTACATGGCATGGACTCGGTCCTCTGGTGCAACTGAACCGATCATTGACTGGAAATGGATACCTTCAGCTACTTGGAGATCACTTACAGCCATTCATGGACTTCAGGTACTCAAACAACGATGGGGTTTTTATGGATGACAATGCGCCATGTCACCGGGCCACAATTGTTAGAAGAATTGGTTAGAAGATCATTCTGGACAATTCACGATGTTTGCCCCTAGATCGCCGACAGAACCATCACATTAGGACTACGAGAGGGAGTTCGTGCCCAACCCCACCTCACACTCAAATTTAAGAGCTCCATTCCTGCGGATTTTTTTCCTACCGGGTGCCGGCAAAGGAGGACCGACTATGAGGTATCCTGATTTGTCTTCAGTATTTTTTCACCACAGATATATTCGGAATGAAGTAATATGCCATCATCGAAAGTATATGAATTTTGATTTTTATTTGCCCATTCAAAGCATTTTTTCAGAGTTTCGTCTTGTTCTTGATGTGTCTTGAATTCTAGTCTTACTCTGTTCGTTGTTTTCCCAGACTCTATGTTTTCTTGGGAAAGCTGATTAACAACAGCCAAATTTGTAGTATTTTCTTCAACTGGTGAACGGGTTTATCATCTGTCTCTTTGTACTCTAAGGGGGATGCATCCCAATAACGATCACAGTTCCACAGTTCGATATTCCCACAGAGTGTTTCATAAGCTGAAGAACTCAATAGCAAGTCGGTAACTAACTAGCTTTTTTGAAACAGCACACGTAATGGACACTCTACCGTGAAAATCATCGTCAATTTTCATCTGGAAAATCTTTAGTGGAGTAATTTCGTTTTCACCAAAAGCAGAAGATATATCTCTATTTTACTTTCTCCTTCGCAAGGTATGTTGTCAACCAATTTCTCACGGACTACTGAGATTTGTGCTCCCGTGTCAACGATTCCATTTAAAATAATATCTCCACATTTAACTTTGACAAGTTTTAATTCATCTATGTTTCTAGACACGTCCACTGATTTTGAGACAGGAATAGAGATCTTGGCAGTTAGCACTTCTGTTTTTTTTTTTTTTTTTTTTCTGTAAGGGGTGCTTGTGTTTGTATTAAGTTGTTTTGTGCTCTTGCAGAAGCACTTCTTGGTATCCGATTTTTGGTACATAACTTAGATGTATGACCTTCTTTTCCACAATTATAGCAAGTTAGTTTGAAACTAGGCTTTTGTGGTTCGTCACTCTTACGGGATGGGTACACTCTTGGCGTGTTTTCAGCGGACAGCGATTTATTTCTGAAAGCTCTTTCTGGAAGTGGAGAATGAGGTTGCCATTTTTTATTAGTTCTGTCTGCTGATGGATTACCACCAGTCCGTTTTGAGATATTACGAACACTGTCATATTCGTCAAGTTTATCAGCTAATTTGGTTGGAGAAACGAACTTCGCCCAGTCGTCAAGAAGATGGTCTCTTACTTCATAGGGTACTCTTTTCTTAATTTGGTCAGTAATAATCAAGTCTTTTAACGCGGCAAAATTTGTGATTTCAAGACCATTGATCCATTCTTCAAAATAACTTGTAATTTCGTAGCAAAAATCTCTCCATGATTTTTCAGCGCTCTTTTGGTGCATCACAAATTTTTTTCTAAAGCTTTCAGGATTTAATTTAAATCTCTTCAATAAAATGGCCTTAATGTACTCATAATCTTCAAAATTTTCTTCAGATTCCCTACCAATTAATTGAATGATTTCAGATGGCATTAAAGTCAATAAACATGAAACCCAATCTTTAGGATCAATCTTTGTCCTTTTAGCTTGTCTTTCAAATAAGGATAAATAAATCACAATATCATCGTGTCTTAAATTGAATTTGGGAATAAGCTTAATTAAATCAAAATTATGATGTCCATTTTCATTTGTTGGTGGAGTTTGTGTTAGTCGAACACGAGATTCAATTTCGAGTTTCCTCAATTCAAACTCCATTTGCTCTCTTTTCTGCTGTGCTTCTAATTCTTCTTTTTCCTTTCTTCGCTGTTCCTCAATCTCTTCTTTTTCCTTTCTTCGCTGTTCCTCAATCTCTTCTTTCTCCTTTCTTCGCTGTTCTTTCCTCTCTTCTTCTGTTTCTTTTCCTCTCTTCAATAATCGTTAAAAACACTTCTTTAGCAAATGCTTCATCATATGTATCACTTTGAATTATTTCATTTTTTATCGCCACGATTTTCATACTTGGATCTACTTGAATTTCTAATTCAGCAGCTAAAACTAGCAAATCCTCTTTTTTTCCCACGTCCCATAAAAGCCATGTCTCGATTTTATTCAGCCAATAGACTCTTAGTTTTTAAAAAAAAAAAATTTTTTTTTTTTCTCTTTTATTTTCTATTTAAATATAATTCACAATGAATTTAATTTTATTCGGCGCGAAAATCAATCAGTGGAATCAATACTTAATGTGTTGTTCACCTACTCTGGCGAGTCAAACGAAATTACATTTGAACACTGGCGTATTCATTACTTTGACAAGTAAATAAACTAAGATTCCATGACGGAAACAATAATTAACTTTTCATAATCTTAATTAATTATTTTACGTTTACAAGGTAAATTGAGCTCTCACCTGAGTTATTTTGGTTCGTAATTATATGCGGGAAAATCCCGGTCCTGCCGACTACGCCAGTAAATCCTTTCCTTATTTCAATATAATGAATATTGAATCTTGTAGGAAGAATAAAGCTAATTTTTCAGAATAAACAAAATACTTTTATTTAAATTTTAAAACAGAACCAAAAAAAATAAAAATAAATAAATACTGCAGCTCTAAACTATCAAAATTTTAAACTCTTAACTACTGCAGTTAAAACTCTTACAACTATTAAAATATTCAAAATCCTAAACACTCTAAACAAAATATATAAATAAAAATCTTTCGAATCCTCTTCTTGTTGCCACACCGTAAAATGCAAGTTATTGTCCTATTATTTATATTTCACGTTCTCTTTAAGTCACGATCTTCACAAGTCACGATCTTTACAATAATCACTAAAGAATTAATATTAAAAGATAATGGAATATTCTAAAGGAAATAAACGAGCTTTATCTATATCAAAATTTCTGAAAAATAAAAATATTTTTTACGAAAACTTTATCTTAAAAAAGGAATAGTTGAATATTTTATCTGTATTTATGTTTTTTATGTATTTTTAAAGTGTTTCTAAAGTAGTTTTGACTTTTTTATAGAATAAAGGCTATGCAATAGGAAATACCCCTGAACTTGCTCGAGCTCATAATAGTCATGCTAAGTAAGTGCTGCTGTAATCTTATAATTATCTTAATATATTAAATATTTTAGTTTTATTTTTAGCAATCCATCACTTTCCAAGATACCACAGATAAGTGGGTGAAAACATGTATTACTATATGGCTTGCAGTTTTTTTTTTATGTGTATATTGGTTACTTTAATATGAATTGCAATATTTATTTCTAAAAAAATAAAATTCTTCTAAGCGTACTAAATAGTGATCACCTCTTGTAATTTCAAAGTGAGTCTTGCACGTTAAGTTCTTAAAAAAAAAAAAAAAAAAAAAAAAAAAATGCATATATGCAAAAGCGAAATTTCTGAAATCCATTTCTAAAAATCTTAGTGAATTCAAAATCAAAGTGAATGCCTTAAATCAGGGTCCAAAAAAAATTTTTTTTGTTTTATTTAATTTATATTCATGTTTATTTAAAATTATTGTGAAATTTTTCCTGTAGAGAAGGGGTATTTTATAGTAGTGATTTAAAGTTAAAAAGAATCTTCAAGACTTAACTTAGACTGACTTAAATTTTTTTTTCCTTGGAAGTGATTTAAATTTGTCTAACTAATGTTACTAAAATTTCCTCCTGTTACATTTGGATCAGGTCTAAAGCACTGTATCTGTAGTCAGATACTATTTAGCAAAGCAATATATAAACTAATTCTAAAAATTTAAATAAAACTGTGGAAAAAATGTTGTGGTGGTTAGCAATAAATGTGCAATGCAGCAATTTTGAAATTATTTATAGATGAGTTTGGTTAGTTACTTTAGAAGACACAAGTTTCATGTTTTTCATTTAAAGATAATTTAGTGAGCCCTTTCTCAACTTTACTGAAAGTACACTACTTCTTCACTTCCTTTCTCAACTTCTAAGTGGACAAGTTCTAAGAAACTAAAATATCTAATAATTTCAAACAGAATAACAAAAATTAAAATCATATATTTAAAATAGCATTAGTTTATATAATATCAAAATTTTTACAATTGTGTGCCTTCATTGTTAACTGCAATTTAAATATCTTTATTCTTCATATTAGATTTGTCTGTGCTTTGAGTAATTTCATGTAGTTATTTTAAGGCTCTTATAAGGGAGACTAATTACAAGTTCTGTTCTACAACATATCCTGATCATTATTTCTGTTACTTGCCTAATTTTAAAGTTAATTTGTTAAGAATCAGTATTATAGTCCCCATGTCCAATAAAAATAAAGTTAGAGATATAATAGAATGCTGTTAGGTCATGTTACATAATTTTATAGAACAAAAATGACTTGTACTAAGTGCTGATTTCATTTATTTTTTACTATTAAAAATTTTTCATTTTATTGTTTTATACATTTTACTCAAACAGGTATTTTGTATAAAAGAATAAAAGGTATTTAAATAATATTTCATGTATATTTTATTTTTCCAGCAACTTTGTACGAGTTCCTTGTGTCTATCAAATTTTTTTCTTCCCTGTCTTAAATCCAAAAGGCCTGAGCATTGTTGGTTTGAATTTTGACTTCTTAGTAACGACTGTGATCTATGCTTTTCCTTTCACTTTTAACTTAACTGTCCTTTTTCTTTATAAATTAAATCTAGATATTTTAGCTGAAATACTGATCCTGATATGTATTTTCTCACAGAAGACATTTTATGATCATATTATTTAAGTAAAATTATTTAATCAAATTTAGGCCAGAGCCTAGACATCTGCACGAGAAATCTCATGTCATTTCAACAGGACGCACAGTTGAAGCTTTCCATTTTGTCAGTTATGTTCCTATTGGTGGCCGATTATTTGAATTGGATGGTCTAAAACCTTATCCTATTGATCATGGTACAAATTTTTTCATTTTTTTGAAGTCTTATGATTACTAGAATAATATTCTAATCATAGTTTGAAGTAAATGACAATGTATTTAAAAAAATCTGGGAAATCAGAGCAGAAGAATATATGACGAAGAAACTTCATACATCATTCTTACATGATTTTTGATTATTACAAGAAGTGTTTATTTTTTAATTTTAGTCTTTACAGTATGGTTCAAGTGAAAGATTATCTAAAATGATCAGAGCTTCTATATATTATATCTTTCAATTCTATGTTATGATTATTTAAGTTATAGGTTCATTTTATAAGCACCAAGAACAATTATTAAAATGTCATAATGAGATTCGAATGTCTAGTATCCGGAATGACCTAAAATCAGGACCTCAAAGCCACCACCAACTTTTTTTTTTTGGGGGGGGGAGGTTCTATATGCATGTGCATTTAATTCCCCCCCTAGCAAACTTCTTAATTTATGGCAACATATTCTCCTTTCCCTTTTTACATTTATTTCCTACTTTAAATTAATTTTAACAAAGTGCATAAACCACATTAGCTGTTATTATCGCTTTCAACAAGTATGCCAATTTTCAAAATGTGCCAGTATATAAATTCACATATATCTTCAGAAATTTTGAATAAAACGCTGTAATTTTTTGCAGGTATGCTTAGAAATACATCTACTTTAAGATGATGGTAAAAATTTTACAGGTTATAATTCTAAATTTTTTTCAAAAATTTTATAAAATTATTTTAAAATACAAATTTTAAAAATAAATAATAAAAAATTGGTGAATTGCATTTGGAATGAATCTAAATTTCAAACTGTGAAAGAAAAAATCAAGTAAATGTAATAAAAAAAAGATATTAATAAATATGTACCAAATTGAATTAACATTGAGGAGCTAAAATTTTGAGAGCTCATTTTTTAAAAACTACTAGTGGGATTTTTATGAAGCTGGCAGTTTGGCATAATTTGAGTTGTAGAATTGAAATATGGAAAAAAAGTCATTTCAGAAAAAATCCGATTTTGTGTCAGAATACCTATATTAGAGCAATGGTATATAAAAATGTAATATATATCCTAAGTCGTGTTTTTGAGACATGAAAAATGCAATTTGAATTTTTTCAATCGACCCGGTAGAATGGGAGATATAGAACTGTCCCCCCTTTTTTTTTGTGCAGGGAATTTATAGTATTAAACTTTTAATGAACAACAAAATCCAGCATTAGTTTTGAAAGTTAAGTGGAATATTCCTTTTCAGCTGCAGAAGTGAAAATTGGCATCCAAGAAGCAGTTCAGGCTTCATTTTTCTTTCCAATTAGCTAGCTTCAGTACTTTAATTAATTAATTATTTTGAATGATTTGAATTAATGGAAGCTGCTTGGTTGTGTGAGAAGCTGTTATATATCAGCTGTTGTATATTTTTTCAACCAAATTGAAGCTTAGAAAAATTTTATTCATTAGCAGTATAACATTTTTTTATGTCACTTGTGTTATCAAATATATACAAAAACATTCAAAAATTGAAAATGTTCATTAAATATAATGTAAATAAAACAGGATGTTATTTTAACAGAATTTGCAAATTCCTTATAATCTTAATCAATTAATTATCCTAATTTTTAAGAAATTGTTAGATTGGTATTTATTTTAAAGATGAAAGCAATAGTATGGAAGATTATAAAATCTAAACATAATAGAAGTTCTAATTTATTAGGAGTTAGCTCAGATGTATAAACTTGTAATGAAAGTAAAAAAGTAGATTCTGTTGATGAAAAGTTTTTAAATTTCTTCAAGCTGCTGAATTTATATTTAAATTTTAGAACTATCCTGTCCTCTTTTGATTGTTTCTGTTATTGATTCATATATCTTAGTCTACTGTTAAGAAAATAATTGAAAAAAGATTCAGTTTTCCTGAACAGCTAACAATAGAATTAATAGAACTTGCAAAGAAGTGAATGACGAAAGAAGTAAAGAGTATCTATGATTTTTGAAAAAGGGGGAATAGAGGTAGCCTTAACATGGAAAACATAAAACAGGACATTTACACCTTTGAAAGCAACACAGAAAGATAAAATATCTATGCATGCAAGTATCAGATGCATATTAGAGTACAATAAATGAATTGATAAAGTTTAAAATTTGACTTCTACTATATTTTCTGCTCTGTTAATTCCCACTATATTTTTTATAATGTCATAAAAATTATCTTTGCTTTTTTGTTGTAATTTCATGTTTGAAATCTTAAGTTCAGAAGAGAATATTTCTTTTTTTCTCTCTTTAATTATGTCCTTAGTTTCATACATTATTATCTAGTTCAGTTGTAAGAAATTTTATTTATTAGTTCTTTTTTGTTCTGGAAAAAAAAAAAAAAAAAAAGTTGTTGGTAGATCTTTGTGTCTTATATTGCTAGTCAAGGATTAAATAAATCCGTAGAAGCGTTTTATAGTTTAACTAATTTTCATCAGTAATAATGTGGTTTCTCCTTTTTATTTTTGCTTTAATATAATTAAAATTACCTTTTCTCATACAATCTGTTATTTTATGTTTAATGTAATTTTCCCCCTTGATAGTTAAATTAAGCTCTGCAATCACCAAATTTAAAGTAAGTAATCAGTTTAGGAATGTTCTTCAATAATTTTGTTATGCTCAAAACTAATGGATGTTACTGTTGTTTGAATTCATTACATATATAAAAGTGTGGAATTTGTTTTACATATATAATATATAATGTTCTTCAGTACTTTTGTTCTGTGCAAAACGAATAGAAATTGACATTGTTTGAGACCAATTCATTACTTCTGACATTTAATTTAGATTTACATTGTGAACATAAAAGTGTGGAATTAGTTTATGTAATATATATATCTATAAAACCCCCTGGGGTGTATACACTGGCTTGGTATCATCATGACAGTAGCACTCTGGGGGAAAAGTATTTTGAGCTTGGCGGTTCCAGAACCCAAGAGAGGATCGTTTATACGGTCGGACCAAGGGGGATTGTGTAAGTCCTCGAACTGGATGGCTCTGGTAGCTTAGCCAGTCTGAGTTTTCCGGGTAATGTCCCCTGGTGACGGGCAGCCACATAGTACTGGCGGGGGCATTATCAACGACCAGTCTGATTGCCAAGCGGACAAAATGGTGTCCGTAGTGAGCCCCCCTTTGTGTGGTCTGTGAGACCCGTAAGTGCCTGGTGGTCCTGTTCAGCCTTGAGGGAAAAGAGAGAATTCAGATTAATAAATCTGATTGGAGGATTTGAGGCACATGCTGTGTAGTCTTTGTTTTAATTTTCTCAAGGAGGTCTCAGCAGATATGACCAGCCCTCGTGCCTAATACAGAGTTGGTTCACGGGTATCGTCCTAGTTGCATTAAGTTTGCAGAAAGTCATGGCTAAATCTTGATTGGTTGATATATATATAATAGTTTTTCATGTCCTTTCCTAAATATATGTATATATAATTACAAAACAATTCTTTTGAAAACAAAACACAAACATTTTCATGCAGCTATATATCATTTATATATATATATATAAAATAGTTTTTCATATCCTTTCCTAGGACACTCACACACACACATATATAGATATATATATCTAGGAAAGGATATGAAAAACTATTGCAGATTGAAACTAAGTCGTATTAAATCTTGAAAAGACATAAAATATTAATAAACTAGTAGTGAAACTTAAAAGTTTAAAATTTGTATGAGTATTTATCAAATACATGACTTTCAAAATAAGATAAAAGAAAAAATAGTCTACATAAAAATAAAGTAGAACATTACATACAAGGTACGAAAATTATTGCCAATTTCCAGGAAGAAAACTGATTTTTCAAAGGGAATTAGCTCTCCCCCTAAAAATCCACAATAATTTGGGAATGATCATATTTCGTCTTCTTTCTATGTTTGAATGAATTTATTGCCAACTGTGAAAATTAAAAAATAAAATTTATACTAATAAGATTTAAATTAATAAATTTCAGACCAAATGTAATTCCCCGATACAATCAAAAAGGATTATTTACAAAAATATTGTTAAAGAACTCGTGGGGAATATAGTTAGTTAATTAGTTATTACACTATATGTTGGTAATGCTTACAAACAAATACAAGACTACAATTAGAACTATTAAATAATAAAAGGGCTTACATACATGCATATGGAACAAAATAGGCTAAAAATTATACTTAAAATCCTAATGTACAGTTCCTAGGTAATAAGTTTGCATATATTGTTGAACTGAAAAGGAACTTCATTGATACCGATGCTTGAGGAATGTTAAAGTTTATTATAAAAGATGTGGGAGAGAGTGTTAAAAACTATCTTACATAGAAAGCAATGTCGAGAGCTTAATTCAAAAGAAGTCTGTTGGTTGGCTGTTGACAGGAAAATCAAAATAATATTAAGAGGAAGAGTATTCTGTTTACTATATTCTATTTTAATTATAAATTCGTTTGGGTTATTTTAAATACTGTTTAGGCAGTAGTTCTTGCTGATTCTTTGTACTGGTCTAAATTTAGCACCTAGTTTTATTAGTTCCTTTAATTGTTGGTCATTGAAATATGCCCATATTGCCTGTTATTATGTTCATTGACATATAAATATGTATGAAGATATGCATATGTATTATAATGTATGTAGATATGCATATCTAATATATGCACATACATAATATGTATGTCATACGTAATATATATGTGGGGGGTATTAATCGATATGTCTTATAAAAATTTTTCCATTTATGAAACGTATTTCATTTCTAAGGTCCTTGTGGAGAAGACGACTGGACTGAAAAGTTTCGACGTGTCATGACAGAGAGATTAGGAATTGCCACTGGAGGAGAACCTTATCATGATGTTCGCTTCAATCTGATGGCGGTTGTGCCTGATCGTAGGATTGCGTATGAACAGAAATTAAGGACACTCAAAACTAATAGGCAAATAGTATTAGAAGCCTTACAACAGGTAATATTTTTTTCTTTTATATTGTTACACATTACATTTAACTTTAAATATAAAAATAGAATGTGTCACGCCACATTATGCATGCCATAATTATACTTTCAGCTTATTCTTTTTTTTAAAGCATTCAGTAATACTTTGAGCACAAGGGAAAAAATCCTGAACTGTTTTCAGTATGGTTGCAGCAATTTTCTAACGTTAAAGGAAACAACGTTCTAATGTGATATAAAAGTAATACTAAAAAGAAAGATTAGAAATGCTTAGATTAGAAAACTTTAATCCATTGTCAATTAACTAACTTTGCATGTAATTTATACCAAATCCAGGTTATAGGATTTAATTTATCGTTATCACTCACTGCATTTTGAAAATAAAAATTACAGAATTTATGGTAATGTGTTTTGCATAGTAACAATTTATAAAAACTGCTTTGATTTCTTGAACCAAGTACACATATTAAAAAGCTGTACTGCAACACTTTTTAATATGTTTACTTGGTTTAATATTAATAATGTAATATTATTAACATGCATAATTCAGTAAAGTAAATTGAAAAATTTTATAATATTTCCACTTAATTCAAACCTGTAAAGTATTTTTAAATTTAAGTTCAGTGTGTAGAAATTTTGAGCGCACTAGAAAAGGGCCTTAGTCTTACTTTCTTTTTTTAATTACTTTTGATCAGTGTACATGAATTCCCCCCTTTCTTATTACTTTATGTAAACTTAAAACCATTATTTTTCCCCCCTGAGCTCTTTTCTGTAACTTTTTTTCTAAATTATTTTTCAAAATATTCTGATATTTTGCATTTTATGAAATGAATACCTAACTTCACACTGTCAAATGAATAACTAACTTCACCACGTCAAATCTAAATTTTTTGCCAGATGCCCTCCAGTTCTGCCCGGGGATCGCTGGCTTCATAAGATAGTGCTGCCATGCACCAAATTATTTTAAACATCGACGCGGTTCAATTTTTGGTAAAGATCATTTAATTACGCTAAGAAAAATCCTTAGTTGTGATTATCATGCTTTCTAAGTGGATTCTCTTCCTATTTTCTTAAAAAAAAAAAAAAAAAAAAAATCGAAATGTTCAGATTTTGTCCAAAGGGCGGTTTTTTTAACATGTTTGTACCTTCTATTTAATATCATGTCTTCACTTAAACCATAAGATCAGAACAATATCGCAAATGTTTTAACAGCACATCTTTAGATTTCCGAGACAGAGACTCACGCGCTGGAGAGAAAAATGTTTTTGCTGCACAACGTTGTCGTCGCTTTGAAATCTCTTGTTTGTTAACGGTGAATGTCTGGTTAAAATAGAATGTAACTACGAAAAACTTTGCCGTATTCTGTGTTGTTGAATTTTTATTGCGTTCACAGAAAAAAAAACAAAATACTGTTTTTTGGGGCTTTTTTATTTTTTCATGACCTTAAAGTAGACTTTTTTAAGTGAGTGAAGTTTCATAAAACACATGAAGTCCTCTGTAACATTTTCTTTTAGTTTTCCGTAATGCCTGTATTATGTTTTCAAGTTTGTGACACTTTCAATCCTTTCTTCCTTTATTGTTTCAGTGTCAAACATACATAACTAAATAGAATTTGTGAGTCAGAAATACTCTTAAGCAATTTATTTGTCACTCCAAAGAAATCTAGTGCAATTACATAAGATTTTTCTGCATCAATAGCAAAGAAATTCATGTTAAGAGCAGAAAAATGTATATCAGGATTTTTTAGATCTTTCTTGAAAACTACGAGCTTACCTGTCACCATATTTCTCTTTTATGTTATCTTCATTATCATATGAATAAACATGACAGACTGCAAGAGATGCTACAGGATCAGAAAAGTAATAAAATAATAGTTTCCTATAGTAGCTTCTAATTTATAAAAAAAAAAAAAAAAAAAAAAATCAAAAATTCTTTAATGATATTAGGTCTAGAAAATGATGAGCTACTCTTGAAAAGCTTACTCAACTGCTCTTTTGACTTGTCTTCTGGTCTTGCAAACTAGAACTATTGAGCAACAGTTGCTTCTAATTACACTTTTTTTCATAACAGAGGTAAATTTCTTAGAATTTATTATATTTATTTCATTTTGGCATTATTATTAAAATACATATTTAGTTTTTCAGCTTTTATACTCTGTTAAAAATATTTATTCACCACAGTATCAGTTTATCATTAACCCATTAATGGGACAACCTTTCACTTGAATGAAATTAATAAAAATCTTCTACTATCTTTTTTATGTATTGGAGTCTAACTAAAAGTAAACATGTAACAGGGAAAAAAAAATTTTTATATTTTTATTGAAGATACAAACTGTTGCGAAAAGACAACCTCAGTTAAAGCCAATTACTTTTGTGATGCATAGAAATCTCTGAAACATTTGCTATGCAAAGGCGTATTACATTTATTAACAAACCATTATCATTTGACTACCACATTATTTGCATAGCTTTTATTTGTTGAATTTTTCTTGATAATGGGATTTGTGGGATCATTCCTCATTTTGCTTGAGGCTAAATTTTGAAAGAAAGATGCTTGGTCAACACAAGAAAAAGATGAAAGCTGCAAATTTTCAGAATATTCTTCCCTTGTTTTCAGAAATCCCCATGCAACACTTCTTTGAAAATCTATCAGCGAAATTTAGGAATCTATGGCAATCTTATAAAGCTTCTTGCATCAGTAAAATTTGTAAAAATACACCACCATCATTTCTTATTTTTTACTTGCACTTTACAATTATATTATCCAGAAGGTCCACCCATCCATACATTTGTTGTAATTTCTGATGAGTTTAGGTTGCTTTGTGGATATAGATTTGTTTTCTTTTGAGCACCTCTTGCACTAATTATTGGTCCCTGAAGGTGGATAAATTATATATTATGGTGAAAGTGGATAAATTATATATTATGGTGGATAAATTATATATTATAATTATATATTATATATTATTAAGTTAGTTGTCATAGCTGTGATGGAACTGTTATTCCATTGAATTACTGCAGTGCTCTGCTTTTTATCAAATGTGAAGTCATATGTTCCACATTCTTCTTTTTCCATTTGGTTTTTACAGATACAGTAGGACAATTTCCTAATATGTGCTCAAGAATTGCTCCATCCACATGAAATTTCAGCTCACTCAATTCTGATAACATATGTGATGCAAAAAAGTTAACAAAATGTACTTAATGATTTGAAGAAACTTCCACTACAATTAAAAGATCAGTTAAACATATCTACCCAGTCCAAGCTCAGTCGATGTACTTGAAGATTTTTCTGAATATGTATCAAAATGATATAAATACCCTTCAGAGAACCACAAAACACCAAACTTTGCAGTTGAAATGAACATTTTTTTCCTTTGAGAAATATTTTGTATGAATGTCTACAAAAATAAGGTATCATTTGCTGATCTGTAGAAAAATGTGTTGAAGAAAACCTTATATGTTTCCTTTAAATAGAGACAAACCTTATCCAGTTTTTAGTTTTATCCAATGCATTGTTTATTATCAGCTAAATAGAGTTTTAGCTCGATATTAGTATACATAGAACATGTCATTGCTGCGCATGCTAATGGATTCTTTTTTAACAGGCATGACTGCATATACAAGAGAACAATTTTTCCAAGTACTTTTTTTTAGGTGATTCCGAATTTTTTTTAAATAATCTTTTGATGAATTCAATACACGTTTAAATTTTTTAGATGAAAAAATCTCGATCTCATCTGATAAATATATCAGCATTGGTAAATTATCACCTAACACTTATCATCAATGCATTCCTTATCAGTCATAATGTCTAGCTATTTGCATTTAAAAAGTGCTCTTTTCAAGAGAGCACAGGCACAATGGCTCTTAGACGAAATTTTGGGATTTTACAGAATTGCAATGAAAAGGTATATATGGAATATCTGTATCAGTCATCATTTTTTTCAAGGAACACAGTGGTACTTTTCGAAATATGACTTGTTTGCTTTGTCTTGATGGAATTTCCTCTGCAAAGGATGTGAAACTTATCTTGATTTATCATTTTGATTTTAACACTTTTTTTCCACTCTTCAAACTTTTTATTTTCCACTGTAAGAAAATCCTGGGACAATTAAAAACCTTTCAATAAAATGTTTTTTGCATTGAGAGAACCAAGTTTATATATTTTTTCTGTCTTAGTTTTTGATAATAAATAGATCTTTTTCTCTTGCAGTCATTTAGGTAAGCCCATGTTTCGCCAAGGGTCACAGTGTATTTCCATTTATCTCCTACTAGCTTCATACAGGATTCTATAAACTGTTCTGCCACATGATTTGGCACTGGTGAACATTATGTTTTTTACCTTTTTCAAGTTGTAGATCTTGGTTTATTTATTGTTGTTACACGTGTATTTAAAGACTGCAACTGAATTCTATGTCGGCAGATTTTCCCTTGTTACCAGTGACTTAACTTTAGAAACGGCATGTAACCTTTTTGAGTATTTATTTGGAGTCGTCTTTCCATATCAAAGTAATGGTGGACAGTTTTTTCCTTTCCAGTTAATAATGTTGCTTATTTTGTGCTTAGAAATGTCACTACCATACATTTGGAATAGGAATATTTTGGAAAGCACAGAAACATATCCACAGCTGTTTACATGTGATATTTTAAAGGAAGAAGGAATTTAAAAGTAGCAGATGATATTTCTCATTTCCAAATAATAAGCTGTTGCAGAAATATTTATTCCAAAACATTTGCTTCTTTAAATTCTTTATTGAAATTATTCTTAAAGCCCCTTTCTGTAGCTGTAGTGTAATAATTTCTAATATTGCTTAAACATTGGAAACAGTATAAGTTAATTTTTATTATTATATTATTGTAATTACAGTACATAGTAATGCATATGAATGTAATATGAAATATGAAAAATATGAAATTCTTATCACAAATATCTTGGACATTCTTTAACTAATACCATTTTAAAATTACACCATATTATTTTGTTACATTCCTAGATCTATTGAAATGATTCCATATTAAGAAGAGTATTCCCAGGTCCAGTAATAAGAGCTGAAAAGTAGCTGTACTATAACTTTTTTGGTCACATGCCACAGAAGCTTTTGTTTTATTTTATTTGTTGGCTGTACTTTCACATTCAAGCTTAATATGAAATTCTTATCATAAATATCTCTGACATTCTTTAACTAAAACCATTCTAAAATTACATCACATTATTTGGTTACATTCCTAGATCTATAGAGATGATTGCTCATTAAGAAGAGTATTCTCAATTACAAAAATTTTTCATTTCTTTAAGAGCTGAAAAGTACCTGTAATATTATTATTTTTATCATGTGCCACAGAAGCTTTTGATCTATTTTATCTGTTGGCTCTACTTTAACATTCACACTTAATGTATATGTTTTTTATGTAACTTGCATAATATTTCCATATATTCATAGCTTGCATATATTATCTTAAGTGGATAATTTCTAGCATTAAATATCAAAGTATAGGTTCAGGTTATTTAAAAACATTATATTCATTATTGTTACAGTTCCACCTTGCTTCCTATTCAAATTTAACAATTTATAACCTCGAGTTTACAATCATAAGTGGATAATTTCTGGTATTAAATATCAAAGTATAGATTCAGGTTATTTAAAAACATTATATTCATTATTGTTACAGTTCCACCTTCCTTTCTATTCAAATCTAACAATTTTTATTGTCTATTGATTGACAGTCAATAGTTTAGTAATTCATATTCAGTTAGAAGCTTCTATTTTATAGTTGGTGAAACTCACACATCCTGAACTTACATCTGATGATCATGCAGCTGTTGTTGCAGCTATGAATTCTAAACCTCCCTGTCCTACTGAAGATGAAAGTACACAACCCTACAGGTTTGCAGTTTTGATTTCATTTGCAATGTTTTATATATTTTATTATAAATATTACCTTGCTTTTGTTAGATGTACAAGTTTATTACAAAATTTTTGAGTTTTCAATACTATTTTTTATTGAGTTTCAGTAATTTATGAAAAAAAATGCAGTAACTGCATGTAATGCATGCAATAATTATATGTAACCTTTTAGAAAGTTGCACAGAAGGTATGTAAATTTATTGCAGCAGCTTACAAAATGTTACATGTCTGTAGTTGAGGCATCGACCAAAGTACGAGTATTAGCATATAAAAAAAATTTGGGTGCATTGGCACTTCATGCTGAGAGATAGGGCCGTATGCCAGGGATGTTTGTGCTCCTGGGATTTTGAACTTTTGATCCCCGGAATATCGTCGTTAAAAAAAAGTAGGAATAATAATGAATTATTTATTTTGATCTGGGTAATTTTGTTTGCTTTGAAAGCAGAAAAGAGAAAACGCAAGGTCAGTGTATGTGGTGAAAACTTTTCCTTTCTTTCTCCAAAGGCAGTGATAATGCGTGAAAAGGGGAAAAAAACTTTTTTGTTCTTTCCTTATTGCGAGTTATGACTCATTCCCCCGGTTCTCGGACATTCTCTTCTGGATTCTTTTCGGCTAGTAGGCGCGGCAGAAAAAAAAAAAGGAAAGACTTCGTTCGACCAGATGTGCGATCACGTGACTCTGGGTTCAAAGGTCTTATCTCTCCTGGCGTGGCACCAATAAGTAGAGAAGGGGGATTTTTCGCCGTATTAGCTATTTGTCATTGATCGCTTCTCAACTTTTTTTTCTCCACTGTGTAAAATTTTCGTTTCATTTATTGATGCACATGTAAATTTTTCGTTTCGTTTATTGAAATATTTTTTTATTTATGTACGCAAGAGAATTTAACTATGAAATTTCTTGATATAAATAGTGATATTATACAATTAGAAGAAGGTGTCCGGAATGCATGTAGGTGGAATTGGATTGAACGGAGAGATGGTAATGGGGATACCATCGGCACATGGTGCAAGAAAATAAATGTTGCTGGACAAGCATATTGTGTTTTTTGTAACTCACTGCTGAAGTATGGTGGGGAAAGATTCAAGGCTTTCACAAATCATTCTAAAACTGTGACGCACATAAAATATTCAAAGTGCATTAGACATTCAATGACTTTAAGTAATTATGCTAATTCAAAAAGTACTGATGACTTACTGGAGACTGATGCTCGGCCATTGGATATAGTGACAAGAAAAGCACGCCAAGAGGTATTAATAACTTCGTTTATCGCCGATGAAAAACCTTATACTAATACAGCACAGCATATGAAACAGAAATTACCCCTTAAAAATTCATATCTAATTAGTTTTACAGCATTAGATCCAGAGCTAAGAGGTAAAACCAGTACAATATTAACTTTTGAAAAATTATCATTTTTTATGTCCCATATTTTTAGTGATAATGAAAAGTCAAAAGTAGAAGCTGGAATAAGGTTATACCAGAGTGATATTGATATCACCAAAGAAATGCTCTACGCATCTGATGAAAGTGGAAATCAAGTCAAGTGTACAATTGATAAATATTGGTCTAAAGTTTTTAATTTAAAAGATGATTTCACAAATGATTCTACATTGGCTAAATTGGTCAAAGTCTGCCTTAGCTGCTTCCATGGCCCATTAGTGGAAAGTGCATTCAACTTAATGGATACACTTGTCACTGACTATAGAACCTCTCTTAAGATTGATTCTCTAGATGCAGTGCAGACTATTAAATATGATTTAATGGCTTCTAAAGAAACCTCATGTGAAAAATATGGCTCAAAAAATCCAATGACTGATCCAATTCACAAAGATCTCTCACTGAATATGAGCAGAAGTTGGAAAACATATCAAGAGGACTTAAAAACATGTATTTCAGATGAATCACCTATAGAAGTCTTTGAAAAACCTTCTACATTAGCAGAAAAGCAAACTGCTTCTACCTCTGCATGTGCAGTTCTCGAGGAAATTTCTTCAACTGTAAATGAGGAAAATAAAAGTCAACCTTCCTGCAATTATGAAGTTCACCACAAAAGAAAGACAAGCACACAAACATCAGAAAATAAAAAAATAAAAAAAAAGCAGCAGAAATTAGATAAATTTTTTAAAAGAATTAATTCAGGTAATTTAAAATATTTACATAAAATGTAGTAGTTTATATGTTTGAAAATTTGTGGTAATTAATTTTGCAAAAAAAGTAATTCATTGAACTTTTATAATTAGGTCATTCAATACTTCATAACTGTAATTTTTCATTTCTCTCCCCCCCCTTCTCGAAACTCCAAAAATGTCGGTAGTTAGTCCATAAAAGTTTCAGGGGATTTTTTGGGGTCCCACAAACACCCCTGGTATGCTTCCTTATTAGAGAAGCCATAAAACATCTTGTATCTTTTATGCATAACATTGTTATTTTCAAATTTTCAGTTCTCTAAAATCAAATATTAAGTATTCTTCTATGGAAAAATACAAATGAAAAATGATCCCATCAGTGTACTGAGCAGACAGCAAAGCCATTATCTTGAGAATGATTAATTTTGATGCCTCAGAAATAAAGGCAATTTAGAATTTCCTGTTGATATGATTTATCTACTTTTATGAAATTTCTGAAAATTGTCTGTTGAATATATAAGGTTGCCGAGGACTTATACTTTTGCCGAAATGACCTTATGCTTTAAATTCCATTTACCAGTCTTTTTTTTGGGAGGGGGGAAGGTAATTTTCTGGAGCTTGATCAAAATTTGTATTGAGCAATAGTAATGGATTCCATGTTATTGAATTCTATAATATAAAATGTATTCTCCATTACAGACATTATGTCTATTAAGTCATGTTAATCGCTGTGGTTATCTAAACCAGCATTGATTGCAAAATTAAATGTTGGAATTGCAAAAATGTAATTGAAATACATGAATTAAAAAGAAAATAATTGCAATCCCTTTATTATCTGGCCCACCAGTGGCTGAGCGGCAAAGTTGCTGAACACTAGTGGTTCCGACCAGGATTCGAATCTTGGCAAATGGGCTGGCTGTATAGGCGTTTTCATGGTTTTCTAAGTAAGCAACATGTATACAAGTCAATTTTCCTTAGAAAGTCCTCCACAAAGGCATCTCTTCCCTTAGGCAGATAGCTCTTGAGCCTTTTTGCCATAATCATATGAAACAAACCCATCCTTTATTAACTTTGATTTAATATATTACATCCTCCAGAATAGTGCAAATATAAAATCATAATATTGGCTGAGTGAGACTATAAATTATATTTGCATATTGAAAAATACCACCAAGCACATAATAGTAGCAGTGCCACACTGCAATTTCAACATATAAGTTACTTCAGATTCAAAATATGCCTCAGATACACGGTATGTAATATACGGTGTGCCACGCAGGCATGCTGAGAATAGGGTCACCACCATTGCAACTATAGTGTTACTTTAGTATAGGCATTTCAAGGCTGTTTCTTCTCCCCAAACCATGAATAGCTCAGAACCATGGCAATGACTGCTGCGGAAAAAGGTTGAATCCTCTAGTTTGCTGAAATCTCCTGATTTCCTCTGTTTGGTGATGGTGCCATATGTCATGCTTGTAATAGGAGAAGGGTTGCTATGAACTCGAAGTGCCTATTTTGAGTAACAGACTATAGTGTAGCATTAATGCTTTTCCAGTATAGTCTGCTGTTTCTGTTTCATTGCAACAAGTGTGTACATCGCAAGAACAGTACATTATTTTGTTTTACTGAATTAAAGTTAATATTTATTTGAATGATTGTTATGAGAGATGTTATTTCATTTATGTTTTAGGATAAAATTTTTTCTACTCTTGGATAAATAGCCACCCAGATGGTATAGTGGTTAGGGGAGCCGACTACGATACCAAAAGGCCTGGGTTTGAATCACAGAGAAAGAACGGCTGTAGCCTGTCCGTCCCGTCATTGGAGTTAACAGTAGCTGCCTCTTAGGTGCCTCCACAATAAAATGGCCACCAATTCCAGCTTTAGGAGTGGTCAATGTCAAAAAAAAAAAAAAAAAAAAAAGACAAAATAGTGCCCACTGTTCAGGGAAAAAAAGAAAGAAAGAAACTATTGGATAAATGGTTGAACTTGAATGCCAAAAATAATGGTATGGATGGCAGTACTACTAAAGGGCATGTAATATGCAGAATAGAAAATCTGCTAAGACATTTCTCCTATTTGGTTTTACTTTAAACACCTGTGATGGCACTGAAAAATCTCGTTTAATTTGCAATAAAATTTTGGGTATGGAGCGTTTGAAACGATCTAAATTATATAGGCATGTGGAATCCTAGCATTTTTTATATATTGGTTATTCAAAAGAATATTTTGAATGACTGTTAAAATCTTCAAATAAAGATATTAATATTTTGCGGAATTTATGATCGATAACAAGAGAAGCATACTTGTAGCATACGAAGTTTTATATCAGATTGCTAGAAAATAAAATGCCATACAACATTGGAGAATTATCTGCTGCTATTAAAATGTTAAATATGATTATGAAATTCAGAAAATTCCCCGAATTTGGAAAGAATTATTCCCAAATTTACAATTTATTTGGTTAAAAAAACTAATATTTTAGAAATAACTTGGTTGTTAGTACAAATCTTTAATTGCTCATTCAAAGGCTTGTATATTTGCTTCTGTACTTCATATATGTTACTATAGAGCAGTTATACAGTTCTTTTCATAAAATCACAATATGTACTATTTTATTATCAACAGAAGAAAACTAAACCCTTAATACAGTGGTCTCAAATTCTTAGCTTTCTAACCGGTCGCGTGCGTGATCTATTTTCTGTCTGAAATCTGATACCTACAAGATATTTTTGTTGGTTATGCTTTGTAATATGACAGATAGATATTAAATTTTAGGACTATAATTTATTTAAAATAGCTCTAATAAGTTTAATTAATCATGAAATAACGTTTTTTAATTTCAGTGGAAAG